TTGCCGCCCCAAAAAAATGGCCCCGCCCGCCCTAGCTCCCCTCCGCTGCTGCCGCTCGTGCGCCACGGCGCGCGAAACAGCTGATTCGCGCGCCGCTGCTCACCCTCCCTCCCAGGCTCTCAAACCTGGGAGGGAGGGTGAGCAGCAGCACACCAATCAGGTGTTTCGCGCGCTGCGGCCACTCGGGATCTCCCCCCTCCCTCCCAGGTTTGAGAGCCTGGGAGGGAGGGTGAGCAGCGGCGCGCGAATCAGCTGTTTCGCGCGCCGTGGCGCACGAGCGGCAGCAGCGGAGGTGAGCTAGGGCGGCGGGGCACATTTTTAGGGGCGGCATGGCCGGCGCCAGAATGCCGCCCCTAGAAATGTGCCGCCCCAAGCACCAGCTTGTTTTGCTGGTGCCTAGAGCCGGCCCTGGGCAAGAGACTTGAAGGAAAGAAAATGGAGCGAGGTTCACCTCACAGAGTTGCATATTCGTCTTTCTTTCTTTCTTTTTAAGGATGGTTCACCTCGCTATGGTCTCAAGGCCCCTTTTAGAGCACCCAGGAAACAGGGGGGAATCCACCAAAGTTATTTTTCAGCTGCACAATCTGAGTAGGTTGCCCCCTTATTTATTCTGTGATAGCCTCACAATAGTAACATGCCCTCATGACTATGAGGCTCTGTGATCACAATTCCCTTGCAGAGCTTACAATACTGCATATGTATCACTTGCAGTATTTTAAAATGCATGTTTTATTCTTCTTCTTCACTGATTTTTAATTATATTGTTATTATGCTGCAGTGTGCTAAGCACTTTGATAGGAAAAAGGCATGGGTGCTTTATTTAAGAAAATGTATTACTGTTTACAGTTAAGGCTAAGATTTTTGTCACAGTTATTTTTAGTAAAAGTTAGGGACTGGTCCTGGGCAATAACCAAAATTTCATAAGTCTGTGACCTATCCCTGACTTTTATTAAAAATAACTATGAGAAAATAGGGAGGGAGGAGAGTCCAGCACCCACTGCTGCTGGGGCTCCAGGGTTTCCCACGCATGGTGGCTGAGAGCATGGGGTCCCCCATCACCGGCAGCAGCTTTAAGCTGTGGGGTCTGCCCATGGTGGCTGGGAGCTGCAGGGTCCTTCACCTGCCACCCGTTCTGGCTGGGAGCTGTGGAATCCCCCTGCCAGCAGTGGCTTGGAGCTGCGGGAGTCTCTGCCGCACATGGCAGCTGGGAGCTGCAGCGGCTCGGGGCTGCAGGCCCCCCTCCCAACCTCCCCACAGTAGCTGGGAGTTGCTGGGGGTCTCTGCTGACAGCTCCAGCCCCACGACACTGGGGCTGAAGCAAAAATGTCATGGAGGTCTCTGAAGTCACAAATTCCATGACTTCCATGACCTCTGTGACAAAATTTTAGTCTTTTTTATAGTCAAATCATGATTCAGTCTCTCCAAAATTTGTCAACTTTCATCCTAACAAGCTCCTATTTTCTTGAATTCAGATTGAAGCATTTATACTTATCAGCAAAGCTAATGACATTTGACAAGTTGGAAACAAAGATCATAAATCAAAATATTTGCTGACTCGAATCACCACAGTCAGCAAAAAACTCCTTCCTTATACCATGTCGAATGAGTTTTGGGTGTAATGAAACACTTTGTTTATTGATGTTTCAGGTATTATCCTCAACCAATGTGGAGAAGAATACTGACTTAACCAAAACAATTACAGCAGATGATGGTAAGGTACGAAACACTGACAGTTTCTGAAGACAGCGTCCTCTAAATTAACCCCCCTGATATCCCAATACTGTATATTCTCAGTGTCAACTCCAATGCAATTTAACCTTTATTAAAATAAACTACTTTTGATTATAGGATTAGCGAGACTTCTTAAATTATTTCACCAGATAATCCACTTTAAATACCCTTGTGGATAGGTTGTCAACATTAACAACTGGAGAGGTAGAAAAGATTCAGTTTTACCTTCATTTTCTGTATCTAATTATCAAAGTATTCCTTGGATTAAAAACAACACTAGAGATATGTTGGGTTCAGTTCTGTAGTGCTTATTCAGGCATGACACCCAATGAAGTCCATGGGAATTTTACCTGAGTGAGGATGACAGCCCTGGCCCACTCCATACATTTTAAAATTGTAAATGAAAAATGAATGGTTTATAATCCCTCGCCTTGATACTTAAAGGTGAATAGT